GAAGTACGAAAGAGAATTCTGTTTGTGTTTGTTAATGTAAACAAGGTCGTCGTTATGGATGAAGAATACGATTCTTTTCATTTTTTTTTGTCTTTCGTGAACTCTAGTAACACTCGAAGAATATAAACCTTGAAAAATTTATATGGTTCGTCAAATAAACTAAGTTAGAATATCATGCATTTGAATGTTCCATGTAACTTCCTTTTCTAAAATGAACAGTCACCCCCACAAGAATGTTTTCTCTTCATCTGTCTGCCCAACCAATCAGAAAGCAACCATAGTCTATCAATAAAAACTAATCTGTGAATGAAAAATTGGGTAGAACTTTTTGTTTTACTGGCTTTCGTGAGAAAATCATTTCTGAACAATTGATCTGCTCACGTTTTAATCTAGATCATGTTGACTTGATTTCGCTCTTTGATTCGAGGTTAAAAATTTAAAATTGGCTTAGAATAGATTACTGGCTTTTGTTGATGAATAAAGAATGAAGTACTTGTATCTTTTCGTCTAACAGTATATCGATTATTGATATCACTCAAGAGTGTGGGCGAAGAGAAAATTTAAACGAACACCTCAGCACTTTCACTCACATTTGCATCCATATCCTAACTTATTTTTGTTCGAGCTCCTCACATATGATCGATCTGTTATAACGAACGATTTTCACCTGTCCCGAGGGTGTTCACATTAGAGACGTTTTACCGTTATAGCCAATTTGTTATTATTGAATCATTTTCTGTCAATCAGTTGGCTTATTTCACCTTGTTACTGTTCTGCAGTGATGTTGATTGCCAATAGACATTTTTCTTTTCTTTTCTTTAGCAAGCCATTTACACATTATTGCTTATTGATGATGTGAACGACGTTAAAGCAGTGTTTTTCTGTGTTGAAACATGAGAACAAAGCCAAGACGTATTTTTCTGTTTGTTTTCTTTTCTCGATTTTTACCGTTTTATATTGGCTAACGTTAGTTGAAAGGTAGGATCTTCTCCCAACAACGACTCTCTAGTCATGATCAGTCTTTTTGTGAAAGAATCCTATGACTGTTGAGGGAATATTGTCTGTTATGCCTACACTACCTGGTGGAGTTACTATCCAGGTACCTTGCAGAATGGCTCAAAAATTGTTTTGTAGAACAAAGATCTTCGGATTCGGCATTGCCGTTGGAAATCAGAGACAGATTACGAGCAAAAGTGCCGTTGAGTAAAACTGCAAATAGTATCAATCACGCTGCTTGCAACAGTTCCTCTGCAATATTTGATTCTGTTAAAACACTCATAGAAAAGTCTACGTTGTCACAAGATGTACCCAAGAAATTTACATGTCGAAGTGAAGCCCTGTGAAACGTGCATTATTGAGGTCAGCCAGATAGAAATTAGTTCTAGTCAAATTAGAAAGCATAAAATTTGCATTGTGAAGATGCTATTCAGCAAATGAAGCTTTTATTAAAGATGTTTCCATGAGAGTAATATTCTGCAGGCTCGATCGTCGATGACTGTAGAGTTTTAACGTGCTCAAATTGATCCGTCCAAAATAGCACCTGACAAGTCGATCGAGTTCTGTTCAACGAAAAGAGCATCGGAATCATAAAGAAATCGAATGAGATAAGCCTTTCGTTCAGCATTCAATTGGCGAAAGGCAGTTAATGATTTTGCTCGTAGTATCGAACGCAGTGCGGGATCACTGTTTATGTAACAATAGTTCAAAGAAGTATACAAATCGGGCATCTCCTTGATATAAGCATCTAGAACAGCGTCTCATCGTAATTTACCAGCAATATCTAAGTTTTGTTTACGCTGCTTGCTTTTGTGCAACATGCACTTGAACAATAGTCACTGTTATCGTCAAAAATCCAATCATGAGAGGTACCAGAACTGAAGAACAAACTTTTGCGATGTACTCAAATCTGATGTCGCCCACCAAACACGAGTTTCCCACATTAATTGATTTTACCATGACTTGTCGGGAACTAATTCAAGCAGAGACTATAGACTTGCACTTGACCATTTCCACTAGCTTTTCGAACATCTTATAGGAAAATACTTCCTGCCTACGTCAAACTTTCAAGACCTTTAAAATTCGAGCTAGCGATCATTTAAGTATGATCGAATTTGAGAAAATATGCGTTAAATCCAATGATTTCAACATAACTGCTGTGTAGAAATCTTTAAACTTTCGAAGTTTTACGCCACTAGATTTTCTCAATATATCATTATATGAACGCGATGGCAAATCCGACTTCTATCAACCTTGAAGTTTTCATGTAAACAGAAAATATTTTCCTAAAGCATGGTAGAAGTCTGTTGGAAACACCGATTTTTCGATTACTAATCTTTAATCGAAAGCAACTTTGCGTTACAGTGTATTTTTCACTCAGGTAACACAAATAAGTGGGTGTTGCCGAAATTAGCTTACTTGTGATGGCATCAACTTAGAGCGCAAAGTATCAGATTTGCGTATGTCTTATCGAGTGTCAATTCTATAGACAAACTGATAGTATACGCACAAGCTCATTGCCATTGGGACAATGATAGAATGTCTTTTTCTTCTGAAAGTTCAACATTTCAACTCACGTTGAAAACTCATTATTCAATATTTGATCTGTAATTCAATAATGGAATAGGCGTGACAATTTCACTGACAGATATAACTTGACGGAAGTTTCATGATATGCATCTAATTTTGTGATCTTTTTCCAAACACACAAAAAAGTATCACAAGGATTTCACACGTTCTATTCGAAACATGAGTGTGGGTGTGGATGAAAAGAAGACAGTCATTTTCCAGCATAATGTTGTACTGAGAGAAAAACAACGTTTTGCTTTTGTTTTTTGACAACACTTAAAAAAATGTGTTGAGTAAAATGCAAAAAGATAGGAAGCAGAGAAAATTTCTCAATTGTTCTAAACTGTAGCTATATGTTGATTGGAAGTGTGCGACCATTAAATAAAAGTCACCTTTCGATTTTGTTTCAAATATCTTTGTCACTAGGGTAGTTTTTATGATTATTTTATGGCGGTGCTAATTAGACTGGCATCATTTACTAATTAGTTCATCGTGCTTGAATAGCCGATTGGGAACAAGTCCATCTACGGATCACGTGCATCGGCCGCAAGGAATCAACTTGCGATCGCTCGAATGTCCGATTTGTCACAATCTACTTTGGAAACCACATGCCTGTAAGGAATGCGAAACACCTTTCTACAAAAGTTGCCTTGACCAATGGTATAAACTCACTCCAAACAAGTGCCTCATGCGATGCAATATCTATTCTAGTCGATCATGTCTGAAATTTGTCCTGGAAGAACTTTCTCGCATACAGATAGAGTGTATCTATGGGCCGAAATATTGTTCTAAAGTGAGTGAGGATTCTGATCATCAATAATTATATTCGTTTCTCTTGTAGATTATATCGTATGAGACGTTGGAAACGCATGAAATGCAATGTGGTCGTCAACTGATTCGATGTTTAAGCTGTCAGACAGAGGTAGAAAAAAGAGAGCTTGTCAAATATGAATCTCAATGCAATCAGCTAGACATGACCCGCCCTGATTGTCATGCTGTCTATGGAAATGAGTTGCCGAAGTTACACACTGAAATGTTCTCTTTGGAACGACAAAATCAACAAGTTCGTCAAGAGCTAGAACAAATAAGAGACCAAATGAAGCAAATACGAATATCTAGTAAGTAAATAATTGATATGAGCCATTGATCAAGCACATTAAAAAAATTCTTATAGATAATCTGTCTTTGCATGAGATAATGAATTTTGCGGATTTGCCAAACGTCTGCAAAGGTCTGCATTGGACAAACTGTAAATACATGCATATAACTCATGCATTTAGCTCTTTGCCCAAGAGCGATTGTGAAAGAGTGTTCAGCTCTATCAGCAATAACTACATTTGGTATAGTGAAAGCTCAGCGACAACTGCTGCTGATGATTCAAGAAAGACGTTCGGTGTCGCTTTGTTAGCAACATGTGCTGTATGGAACGACAATCTACATTTAACAATCAAAGGCTATCGAAAAACAGAGCAACTTTACACACACACAGTTATTTTTCTATTCGGTGAACCGCAACAGATCAATCTCTGTTGGACAGATATTGATACTATTAAACTCAAAACGCAAGGTGGAACTGCGCGTCGAGGAACAACTTTAATTAGTAATTCGACTTTTGCACTTACGAATCTTCGCATAGATTTACCTTTATAATCGAATGGAATGTTCTAATCATTATTTAATAGAATCTATGTGCATTGTGACTTTGTATTGAGTCTCAAGTTCAGATAACCACTCTTTAACAAAACAGAAATTTTAGAAAAACTAATTGAAATACAAATTAATACTGAGATTAGACTACTGTGAACACAAGTGATCATCTTCATTTAAACTTTGTCATAAGACAGTGATCGAAACTTTAGTAAGAGATCAATGATGCCTAATTTCCAAAAGTCTTGTACAATGAGAGCAAATCTAACTAGTAAAGTGCTATTTGACATCATGATAGACACTCTAACTATCTTTCTTTCTATAAACAATAATCCTAAAATCATTTCGTTAATTTTAGCATTCCACTATTGAAGACAAGCTCTTAAGTCTCTCTATCTAAATAACATGTCCAAATTAAAATTACATCGAACTAGAACATCATTTTCATGCATTTGTTTTGAATATTTTACGCAGATAATGGGTTTCAAAATGATTTAGTCTTATATAATATCATACAAAAACGACGCTTGTGAGTTATCCTCGTTCGATTGCTGTAAGCCGTAGATCGCTAGTTGTTGCCAGTATCAAAGTATCAAGTCTACAATCTACTTCTCTTTTATTCTCGTGTGGATATTAGTTGTTATGAAATGATTTTTCTTAATGTTTGGATCCGTTTTGATAACAATAATTTATTTTATAACAAAAAAAAAACGATATTGACTGAAAAGACAAACTACATTTAATCAATATCCCTGAGAAAAAAAAATGGAAAAATATATGACCAATATTTATTGCTCAACACGAATTAATTGTTGTTGTTGTTGTTGTTCAGGATTATCGGATTCAATATTTGAATCTTCTCTTGAAGATAATGAACGAGAAAATGATAAGCGTTCTTTATCAAAACGAAGTGAAAATCGACCAAGTTGTCCATCAAATCGATTTTTTGCAACCTACAATTGTTCATATTAATAAAAAAATTAAAGATTTCTATTATTAATCTACTTGTAAATATTTAATATTTCCGCCATTTGCTGTACTTAATTTTCGTTGTTGTATAATTAAAATATTATCAGATTCTTGTGATGCTTTTGCTGAACCGAATATTGATGAAATTGATAATCCATCATCTTCTTCCTTAACAACAAAAAAACAAGTAAAAGAAAAATTTTTGTTTTTATTTTTTCTTCTATATTTTTCACTTTTCTCGGATGAATAACAATTGTAACATGACATTTATTATTTGTTGCAAATTTTCTAAAACGATGAATTAATGTATCTTGTTTAAAAAATCGATCACCATTTGAATAATCCATTCCCATCATAAATTGAAGATTATCAATAATAACATGTTGTATATTATGAATTGCAACTGCATTTCCCATTGTCTATTAGTTTTTCAATAATAAATTTCATTTTAATAGAAATAGAAAAATTTTCATACTTACATTTATCACTTTATCAATACTTTCTTGACCATGAAATGTCATAAAAAACATTGGTAAACGAGCAAATTTATCAGCAAATTTATCAAATACATCCATATGTTTAGTTAAATTTAAACTTTTTAGAATAAAAAAAAAAAAAAGAAAGTAAATTGAAAAATACAACCATCAAGTATTCTACATACCCGGCATACTGTGTTAACATTACTTTTGCAAGGCGGTGTGTCTGAATTTCAAAACTGCCGAATAGAGTTGACAGCTAATCATAAAATTTATTTGAAAATGATGAAAAAATATTCATTGCATGGGTATTTTTTTCTATAACTCTATCCAAATAAATCTTGTCTGAAACTCTTTTGAATTTTGTAGACAACCAAATAATTTTTCATGAAACATTCATGATTGATCCTTTCAGAAACATTGAAAGATCCTGATAAAAAGAGATTCTTCCAATGCTGTGGTGCAAAAAAACAATTGTCATCTTTGTAAATGTATTCAGCTTTTAAGAACACATTTCTGATGTACAATAATATTATACTGTAAAATTTCGAAACATTTTTATTAGTAGTGTAAGCAGAAAAACATAGTAGGGGAGAGGGTCAGCTCAGTGTTTTATCCAGTGGGGGGGCATGGGACATTTTGCCCCCCCCCCCCCCCCCCGCCCGCGCGGCGGGGCGTAGTCGCC